CACACACACACAAACACACAATGTTGAGTCATACCGAATATAATAGTCACAACTTGATTCAAGTAAACCCTGAGTAGTTTGAGGATATAATTATCTCAGATTGAGGAAGAGGCTGCAGGGGTGGAACACACGCATACAAAGACACACCACAGTGGAACATGAGTCAGTGATGTAAACATTATGATTGTAATATCTTGTAGGGTGTATGTGTTATCGATCCTCACTTCTTTAAGATTTTACCTAGAAATTGGTAGGTCACAGATTTAAGCACAAAGTGTGTGTGTGTGTGTNNAACACACGTTTATATTAAATACATATATATTATATATAATAAATCTCTCTCTGTATGTGTGTGTGTGTGTGTCTCTCTCTGTATGTGTATGTGTGTGTGTTCTTGTGGGGCTGGGGGATGGTAATGAGTAAATCATACACGTAACAGTTTCATTCACAGCTTCTCAGTTTTCAGGACATTCCCGACTATTTTGAGAAGTGAAAGGTGAAGTGAGGTGTTCTGTGATTGCGTGCTTATCAGCTGATTTCTGTGGAATCCTTTGCTCGGAGTTTTCTGTCCTTTAAATACACACACGCCCCTTCAACCGAAATCAATTGAAAACTGACACCTCAAGCAGAAGCTGCCCACAAAAAGGCTGAGGACAAAGTGAGAGACGCTCTCATTAAAAAACAGCAACTGTTTACTCCCCTGTGGTAAAGCCTATTAGCTTTTACATACACTTAAGCCTCACTTTGCACGTCTTTCCTTGGACAAAGCTGAGCTGTGACCAATCATCAATTCATAAGTTCCTTGTAAACCAATTCTTATTCAGAAGTGATGTAGAAAAGCAGTTCCCAGAAGGAAGAGCAATTAGTCACCAGTTTTCTTTGTTTTTGTCTTTTTTGGTTTCTCAACAGGATTTCTCTCCCTACCTTATTCATGGAATATGTCAGAATTTACAGCATAACGATATCTAATTTCCAGGAAACTTTGTGGAAACGTTTCCCTGTTTCCAGTCTGTGTGCTAAGCTAAGCTAAGCTAAGCTAAGATAAACTAAGCTAAGCTAAGCGGCTGCTGGCTGTAGCCTTATACTTAATGGACAGATATGGGAGGGGTATCAGTCTTATTTAACTCTCCACGAGAAATTCAATAAGCATATTTCCCAAAATGTAAAACTTAGCATAAAATGTATTGTCCCCTCAACTGATTCCAGAAAATATTAGGTAGCTACCCTGTGGAGCATGCAGTAATAACCATGAAATGAACTAGCAAAAGGAAGAATAGAAGACATCTACGCAATGTGAACATGGATCTAAACACGTTAGAAAATATAATTTATTTTATGAAAAGTACTCAATATGTTATTCAGGCCTCAAAGACGCATTTTGGTGCGAAACCACTGAATATAAACAGTCCATAGGGTGCTGTACCTTTAAGGCTTAAAGTAGTTGTTTAACATTTTAGGAAATACACCGATTTGCTTTCTTGCTGAGAGTTAAAGGGATAGTTCAGGATTTATTTAAAGCGGGGTTGCATGAGGTACCATAGTCAGTGTATTGCCTACAGTAGAGGCGGTCAACACACCCTCAATTTAGAGACGCAGACAGAAGTGCTGGCACCGAAGATAAGCAATGAATTGTAGCTGTGGGTGGGGGCAGCAGCAAAAAAGCTCACTAATGAACACATTATACCTTGTTTGTTTAATCTGTACAAAAGGCTCAGTGGAGTAGCTTCCGGAGTCTCCCCTGGTTGCCTGGTGACAAGACTTCAGGAAGATTTTGTTACTTTTAGACAGAGCTAGTCGTTTCCCTGTTTCTGGTCTTTGTGCTAAACTAAGCTAATCTGCTGCTGGATGGTACAAACTTGGTATCGAGGCCCCGGAATATGTTATAATCAGGCTATAATGAATACAAATGTGTTGTTTGTGTTCTCAAAGTTAATAGTGCCCGTAAATTATATTTTCATTATGAAGCATTTTTTAACAAAACCTAGGGACATAACTAATCATTTTGGTGAACCGCTTATATTTTCAAACTGGCATATGTGATGTGCCATCTTGTTTTAAAATCTTCATCAGAGATCATAACACACACTGTGGCGACAAATCTTCAAATAAGTCAAAACTCTTAAGTCAAAACTTAAATGCTGTGACTGTGGTTTAGTACACAGAAATCATGCACACACACACACACACGAGCATTTCAGTATGGTTGCAATACCAGGAACCCATTCACGTTTACGCACACACAACCAGACTTCCCTGAAGAGAGGAACCGCGATAAAAGCAACACATGCAGACCACAAGATGACTGAGGGCTCCTGCAGCAGCCGCAGAAACACACTGCAAAAGGTAGAAAGTGTAAAGGCAACGTCATGATCTTAGCCTTTCGACCGTCTCACACACAAACACACGAATATGAAATCAAGTCAGAAGCAAATACGTACGCACGTCTACAGTTAAAAAACAGTTTTAAACACAGGTTTACACCTGGTTGCAGAACTGCACTGTAGAATGTACCATATATACAGAAATGTTGGATGGATCTTTAGTGTAGATCAGGGTTTTACTGATTTTCTGACTGATGATTTAGCAACATTTATGGACCATAGAAATTTGATACTATACATATTAATATAGAAATGTAATATGAAAAGGAGTGTTTCCACCCTATTATCTATTTTTTTTTAATTATACTGCATCAAACCTTATTAATAAAGAGCCCTATGAATCGTATGCATACTAACTGACCCCGAAATTGTTGTTATTTCGGCCATGAAGCCTTCACATACTCAGTAGAGTAGTACGTGTAGGGGTGTGTGTTTGTGCTCCAGGGTTGGCAGTTCTTTTCTAATATTTCCTGTGGTTTTCTTGCTCAAACACTGAGGAGAAACCTCCTCTTCTGTTACTACCAGAGTGTACCGTTCTGCTAGGAAGGAAAAGAAGAAAAAAAAAAACCTCACGAGCGAGCGAGAGAGAGAGAGAGAGCGAGAGAGTGTGAGAGAGAGAGAAAGAGAAAGAGAGAGAGACTGAGCACAGTACCAGTGGGGGAAAAAAACAAACCCTCTTCTGTCACAATAACACGACTCATGCCACTGTCTCACTGTTGTTAAGTAGAATAATTTATTGCAGTTCTTTATTTATTCCTCTGTTTCAGTTCATTAACAATAATTACAGGTTTAAAAGCCAGAAGCATTTACAGAGCATACAAACATATTACATACACACACACTACAATCAGAGACTAAATAATGGAAGCGAGGCATGTCGTATTCGGAGAGGTTGCCAATGGTTAGAAACAACATGCCGCCACGTTGTTTCTAACCATCATTAGCTGCTCTACAAAAGGTGCCAAGCCTCTTCAGCACGTCAGTGATCATCGCTATCATTCTTCTGCTATTTACAGTAGCAAGATGGAAATACTAAGAGACCGACTCAAAAAAAAGAGTATTGCTCTGAATTTCTCTTTTTATAAACTTGTTGATGACTGTACAGAGTTAAAAAATAAGAATGAGCGAGCATTAAGACTTCAGCTGTATGATAATGGCACGGAAAAGAAGAGCGTGGCAGAGGGAAAAAGAGGAAGAAAAGGAAGAAGTTAATGAAAGGATTAAAAAGGATGAGCATACAGGGAGATAATATGCTCTAAAAAATCTGTGATTGTGTGCTTTGTTAGTTACAAATCAAGTCATGAATTTAGGATAAAATACACTGATCCCGTTCGAATCGATCAAATAACGCCACTGTTTGGAGAGACAAGTTGCCTTGTTACATTCATCTCTCCCCTCATTGGTTAGCTCTTAAGATTATTGCAGTAGTAAAGCTTTATTCAGCTGATTAAAGGAGGAGGGCGAGGGAGGGGTTCGCCCCTAGACACTAACCTCAGAGCAGCGTCCGAAAATAACGTCATGTTGGTTTTCCAAGAGTGCCTTTGTTTCATGGCGTTATTTGCATTTTCCCCAGGTTTCAAACGCAGCTTTTGTACAGAATCCAAACACGTACAGTTTGTTTTAAAGGTGGTATGTGGGCATTTTATGGTTCATCAGTAGTTGGATAGAAAAGAACATTTTATTTTTTTTCATTGTTCTCAGCATTCTGTTTTGACAGACAGTTCCCAAATACATGGAGAGTAAAACTGAGCTCAGGTCTGAGGGGCAACCGGCAGATACATTCAACCGAGTGCTGCGCTGTGCAGACCTGAAGACACGGATGTTGTTTCAGTTGACACGTCTAACATCACCGATACCTAATATACTGCATCACTCCATTAGGCTGTCACACTTTCATTGAATCAAGCAGGTTTTAAATCTATTTTTCTAAGTATATCAAACAATACTTCGCTATTCAATCAGTAAAACAGAGAGCGAAATGCTTCATGTGGACGATTAACGAATGAATGCCTGCACGGACTCAGAGATACTACTAATTCAGTCAGCTGCTATCCATTATGTATAACACTTCACACACACACACACACACACACACACACACACACAACAGCACGGCTCCATTCAGATCTTCCACATCGTTCTGTCAGTCAGGTTGCTGACTGCTGAATCACCACTTTGAATGAATGAAAGAATAAATGAATAAGCATTATCTAGTCCCTGCAGGTTATGAACTATAGAAAGGGTTTGGGGAAGGAATGGAGATTAAAATAAAAGCCGATCTAAGTTTGTCGACTACTGTTGCATATGTGGGAAAAAAGCGCTGTGTTACGCTGCACTCCAGCAACCCGTCCTAACCTGTCAGCTCGAGAGATCAACATTAACAAGGATGGAGACCAAATGTGCGCTGGCTATCGAAAAGCGCCTTTCACACACACCTCGTCTTCAATGGATCCATCCGAATGTTGACTAGCAACACTTGAAAAAAGGTGTGAGGTGTGAACTACAATGTCACGTTAACAAATGAATGTCTGCAGCATGAGACCTGCTCCCTTCTAGCTCAACTTGCTGCAGATTATTTAATAAATGTTACAATAATTAGTAAATGGGAAAAGAATCATTACTTTACATGTGGAACAAGAAGAAATTAAACAAAATGTAGAACACACACACACACACACACACACACAGACACACACACTACCATGGTGGAATGAATCATTTAGAACCCACCACACAAACACGTCTAGCCCATATGCCAGTTCTAGGTGGCAGTAACCGCTAATGGGTCTGGCATGCAAGTGGTCAAAAGACAATCGTACAGTACAGACAGAGTCAGCTACTGTGTCTGTACTGGATGCAATTGTATTTGTGTTAGCACAGATGCAAGATGACCACCACCACAAAACACGGGCAGGTCTTTTAAAACCTCACAAGTGGAAAAAAAAAAAAAAA